GTATCTGTCTACATATAAGTGTCTAAGCTCTCATTATAATCAATGGAGAAGTTCTCATTATAGGCAACAAAGAGTAGAGAGCAATTCAGATGATCAGCAGGTTTGGTGGGAACTGAATTACTCACTAGGCTCCACTGACTGTACTATTCAGATCTGCAGTAGGAACTCAGGCACAAAGTGCAGGTACCTACAAGTAGACAAGACCATTTCAGTGTTCAAATCTCAAACCAAATCCCACTAGTAAACACTAGAAAAAATAAGGGATGCATGAAAGCATCAGTACTATGAAAGAACTAACGTTCCCTCTGAGATACCCAATGCACTAGATATCTCTGTGCAGTTATTTAGAGCAACAATTATTTAGAATGAAAAGAGTAGTTTAAGGCAAAAAAACCCTAATATTTCATTGTGAGAATTGCACATAAGAGGTTAAAATCACTGATGTCCGCTTATCTCTTATGCAAACATTGTGGATGGAGATCCGCAAGGTTGGCATGAGAAGTAGACGAAGGAGGGAGTCTTATGGCAGCAAAACAGCCCTGTTTTGGCTAAAGAATGTGGAATAAACAGATAAACGGTTTCTACACAGAATCTTGAAGGCCACTGTGCCCGGAGTGAGATCTTTTGCTTAATTATCCGTGAAATGAATATTAAAGTTGACACCCTTAAGTATGATAATGAGCTAAAAGAAGTACATGCTGAACATATATGACTACAGTACTCAACTCTCCACCCAAATCATGTTAAATGTCACCCCCGGCAAGGAACAGCTAAGGTTAGGGAATAAAGGATATTGAGGAAGTTACCCCCAGGGGGGAGAGAAGAGATTGAAGACCCAGAAGAGGCAGTTAATGGGCTGTGCTCCTTCTCCTCCACCCAAGATAGGGATGCCTTCTTGGTAAGCATTGCAACTTTACCTTTTGGTGAAGAATACCTGGGATGGCATTTTACTTGGATTATAATCATATATTAGCGCTATTGTATTAAGTGCGTCATCATTGGCAATTCTGAACTCTTTATATCTGTTGCTTTAATAAACTTTCTATCTGTTTCAACTTTGCAAGACTGTCTCACTATGAAAAATGTGCTTTAGCCTCAGTGAATCTATGTGGAATACTTTGGTTTAATCCTAACTGAAACTCAGTTCAAACCATTTACTGCCATTAGCAAGGATGAGGATGGAAGTACCAATGAGTCTGAGCCCCAGTCCTCATTTTGGGAGAGTGATCTTCTACAGTGGTGGTGGTTACAGCACTGGAGTGTGGAGAAAGAAGGACGATAAGATATTCAGAAGAAAGGAAACAGAGAGTGAAAGAAGAGGAAGACCAAATAACCAAGATACCTCATGACAACTTTATTGCCATTATTAAAAACTGCCTAGTCGCTATTTTGGCATAGAAGACCAGAGACTATTTTTCCCAGATACAAAGTATGATTGAGAATATGATACAATAGGGGATGGAGGGGAAAGAAGGCTGAAAGTTGTAAATGTACTGACTAGGTAACCAATTAAAACAAAAAAAAGTACATGGAGCAAAGTCTACAGCTACTTTACATTTCATGTCAATAGTTGAAATAAATAAAATAATACCAAAACTTCTGTGGCTTGGAGTGACGAAACTGTTGCTGAAGATGTGCCAATGGAACAGAACCACAAATTAATTAAAGAGGTAGTGCCACAACGGTATTTTCTTTAGTCGCTATTGTCACTTTCATAAGAAGCTCAAGTACTAGATGAGGTTTTGCTGTCAAGTCGGGAGAATTTTAAGATATTAAGGAAACTGCATTAAAAGCAATAGGTATATATTGGGAATTGAAATACCTGAGAGAATGGATGATTACACCTCATACTGAATTCAAGTGAACAATCATGTTAAGTAATTACTTAATACTTGGATGGTGCAATTCAAAGGACAGTGTCCACCTGAGTGGAGAAACAAAAATGAACCCTTCTGGAAGCCAAGAAGTAGATAAAACCCACAACTGTTAGGTTACGTAATAAAATCTTGTCTGCACACACACAAAGGAGTTTACACAGACTATGGCAGATGGAGGGAGTCCAAATAACACCCTGCCCAGTTCTATCAAAGGGGACATCAGCCTACTGAAGGCCCATCACCACAAGCCCAGAGGGGCACAGGAGCACAATGGCAGACGGGAACCCAAATTAGGGACTCAGAGTAAGGGACACCCGGTCTGGTCCCCTGCCAGGGCTGTCCCTGGACAGCCTCAGCCCCAGTGTCCAGGTGTGAAACTCATCACCATCAGTCAATGCCAGAGCAGCTTTAGGACTGAGTGGGGGTCACTGCCTGTGGGTGTGAGACACATTATGGGATATCCTGGATTGCACCGGACTTATTATGGGATGTTTAGGGGAGAAATCAAAGGCAGGGGAAGGGAGGGGTTTCAGTGATTTGTGGAGGAACAAGTAGGGGAAAATAGAAGATTAAGGGGATAAAAAGGGGTTGGTCATATGTAAACAGTTTTCTGGTCGGTATGCTTGTCGGGCCATGCCCTGACCCTCATCAGCACAGTCTGTCTCATCCTCTTATTAAATTCCTTTCTAACTCTTTTCCTGGGTGAGGGACCCTGGGGATGCTGGGGGGATGTGAGTGTGTGTATGTCTGTACCAAAAGCTGGAGAGGGGTTGAGGCCTCAAGGGCTGGTATGCCCAGCTGCCAACAACTGGGAAGACTGGGATCCATGGGCAGCTGCTGGGCAAACTGAGTACCTAAGCCCAGCTGCTGAAGGCATCCACACTGTACAGACATATGCATATATTCTCAATAGTGGACCTCCATCCTGCTCAGCTGTACAGGGGAGCAGGATGACGCTGTTGAAGCTGTCTGTGTTTGTGTGACTGCTCTGTGTGTCTGTATGTGATCTGCATGGCTCGCTATGTACATAAGTAAATACATATATATGGATACATGTAGCGTATATGTGTGGTCTGTGTGCATATGCCTATTGGGGATACGTCTTCACCCTCTCTAATGGTTGGACTGGGGGGCATGGAGCTGCAGCAGCCTCTCCTCTCTTGGGCTTTCAGATTCAGCTCAATATATTTTCCCTCAAACAAAAAACAAAGTAGATGATGTCTTACAATGATAGTGCTGAGATTTTAGTTAAAAATTACACTATGTGTAAGCATAAGGCTACTGATGATTTATTTAGACATAGGCATTTGATAAAAGTAGGTTGAAAGTCTATATTTTATTAACTTTGATTGCCTTGGGAGGACAGATGTAGATCATAGTTTTCAGAATTTCTCAGAACTGACACCATTGACTCTGGCACAAAGCTCATTTTACATGAAGCAGATGATAAACTGGAGTTGAATTCACCTCATTTAATTTTATTAATCTGAAAGCTAAAGGAGCTTCTTCATGGTCTCCAGATTACAGAGCATTTTTAGGATTGGAGGAGCCATCCCCTCCGTGACTATCATGGAAACTGCAACAAAGCAGCTGATTTTTAAAGAGCTATATTTGATATCAATGCCCCCATTAGAAGCTAGATACAGAATGAAACAGATCTGTCAACGTACTTGCACTGTAAAGGCTAAGACAGGACCCATATGCCAGGCTGTCTTTCTGAGGCTGCTCTTGTTAATGCTTATGGGCACAAAGTGAAGTTCATCGCCACTAAATAGTCTATACTAGCATGCAGTTTAAATAATAACATAAAAATCCTATGAAAATAGTATGTATCTGCCTCTTTTGCTCAATAAGTGCACTAAAAAAAGATATTTAAAAAAGAAACAAAACCAAAAACCAAATCTTAAAACTAACAAGAATGCTTTTTCCAGGCAAATAACCTGAGATATACTGTATTATAGAATTTAGACTGGGCATGGATCTTCTGAGGTATTAAAGCGTGTTACATAGCATCCTGGACAGCCATTAGAGTATCCTTTCCCAAAGGCAAGTTTCACTTTTGATTTTTAATTCCACTTTAGTTTTTGACCCTACCACTCCTTTCAAAATGCTGTCATGATTTAATGTTCTTTAGCCTGCTTATTTTCTCTTCTCCCCTTATTTATACCAATTGATTCTCAGGTCAAAACTGGTTTTAGCTGCAGTTAGTTCTTGGTTCTACTGCTGTTTCCATCCCTCTGCTTCTATTTTTTTCATGGGATCATGGTCACACTTAACGATATGGCCAGTTTTCTTGTTCCCAGTCATAACTTCCTAAACATTGCTTGTGATTCTCACTGTACAGGTAATTGTCATGACTTTTTAATCATAATAATGCATTGACATCCCTATGTAATTTGGTGTAAATAGTTCTGAGTCTCAGTCGCTAAAGTTGTGAAAACGCATTAAAACAATTCATTCCTACACAATCATTGAGTAAATATGATGCTGCTTTTAACATCTACAAATACATCTCATTTACTTTCTTTCATGTAGTAAGAACACAGAAAGCAAAGCACTGCCCCCATCTCTAGTGGAGGGGGACTGAAGTACTTTGCATTGACATTATGAAACTATACCTATTTTAAGTGAAAATAACACTCTTACTTCATCAAATCAGAATTGAATTACTTTTCATTTTGGTCATCTTCACAGCCTCCCTTCTTTCCCTGCCCTTTCCCCATACTGCTACATTTCCCCCATGATTTTGCTGAACAGCACGAGGCAGATTTCTGGCTCCGTTGAGGTTTTTCTTCATGTACAGGCTTTCAGACATAAACACTTCACTAAGAGCAAAGCCCACACAAAACATAGCTACCTGCATCTACATTGTGCCTAAAGAGGTAAATTGGAATGGACAGAGGTGAGGGCTAGTGATGAATACACCTGGGCAAATTCTTTCATCTTCTACTACAAAGTCTGTCTGCCACCATAAAGCGATCAGCTGAATAACTTATATCTGATTATATAATTCCTCTCATTTCTGAAAAAAAGGGTAAAAAGGGGATTTTGCATATAAAAAGGATTAATAGTTCATTGATTTTGATTCTACTGTTGTTTGAAAAGAAGAATATCTGATCTTACCTCTTCACAGGCGGTCCTGAAATCCATGTGCTATGACACAGCAAGTGATATTTGTCTAAAATGGAGAGAAAGATTTCATTAGAATGAAAAAGATATTGCAAAACATAAAAGTTATCTGTCTGAGCTGAGCAATTGCACTTCTCTTTGAAAGGTCCATTATAGTCATTGCTTAAAAAGAGAAATTATCAAAGTTGCAACAGGATTAGGAAGTGCAAGGTGTTACAAGTTGTTCCTGTTTCTTATAAAACACATGACCCATTTTCATTGAGTATAATCAAAGGAATGCTTATGTTCCCACAACCTCCTCCCACGGGACATTCAAACTTACTTTTCTTAATGGTTGTTTTGGTATTTTTTTTGTTGTTTTCATTGGTGGGTTTTTTTCAAAAGTAGGGTATACTGGAAAGTAACACTTCAGATGGAGACAAGTGTTGCTCTTCAGAGTGCCCTCTCTCTTCTAAAAGACTTTTTTTTTTCTTTTCTCCTCTAATTAAAACTCATCATGCATCAATACCTTTTATCTCACATTTTATTAACATACGTAATCTCTCCAAGAAAGCCAGTGTCATTTAACAGTGTGCCTACTTTGCAGAAATATTCATGAGTTGAAAAAAACAAAATGTTAGAAAAGTCAGGAATATGTGTGAATACTGGCAAAATGTCACACCAAATCCTATGATTATTACTTTGCCTGGCCTTTACCTAGAGTGTATTCATCCCAATGCACACTTATGCATTCATCTATTTATGAGATAAAGCCACTGGAACATGCTGTTATCAAAGGATAATAACAGTGTCCTGCTGCTGGTTCTCCAATAGAAATATCCATGCATCATAACATGCAATAACACTTCCAGGAAAAAACAGTCATTTCCTTCAATGGCTGGAGGAACAAAACCTGTAACCAAATCTTCTCAATCGAGTATTTTATTGCTATTCTTTATTAATTATGTGCTTACAGTTATTTGTATATATACAGTACTCAAAACTCCAACACAAAATTTGCCCCATTAGCCTAAATTTAGAACTAAAAAACTATAGTTCCCATCATACAAAAATATAAGTCCTAATAATAATAATAAAACCTCTTAATCTCTTAATTAAGTCTCTTAATTTGTTTTGCTGCCCTGGATGCAGTTTTATTAAACCCAAGCACACGCACACATGAGGTTAATTTACTGAGCTCTGCCTGGTTCACAGCCTGTGCTCTAGACCAATTTCCAGCAGAGCTAGGCTAGGTTGGCTATGTTACAACGCAGGAATTTAAAAGGAACCCATCATCATTCCTTCTTTATCAGCTTTACAAGTGCGCCAAGATCCAATAAAGAACTGTATCTGTAATTCTGCTCTCAAAGTGCTCATAAAAAACAAGGTCACTATTACAATCTTGAAGACTGTTCTCTCTGGTGGGACAGACATTGCGCAATGGAACATGTTTCCTTGTAATTTTTATGAATTCTCTTTCCAGGTGCTGAGTAAGCTGAAGCAGGAAAGAGGCTTTACTCACCTTAGCAAAGTATTCTGAGAACTTTTTAGCCTTCTGGAACTATAAATGTATGTATCTTTAAAATATGAACTGAAGTACTGCACAGTGCTCTCCTTTCTTGGGCCCTGATTGTGTCAGGTCAGTAATTGCTATTACAGTCAAAAGTGTTTTCACTTATGTTCTGCCTTATTAATAAAATTTCTGCAAAGTTTGAGTTTGGGCAACTTTGCTTCCACAGTCAATGACAATTCTTCTCTAGCTACTGTTTGATGTAAATCCTATCAAATCCAGGTCATTTCCACAACTCAGTATTCCTCCATTTTCTTATTTTTGTTGTTTTTATGTATTATGCATTTATTTACTTACTTCAGAAATATTTGTATTACCACATAGAAGAACAGTCAAGAAGAACTAGGCTTTGCAGCATCATAGCTGATTGGACATACAGCTCATGAGCTAAAATAACTTCTAATTCTGCTCAGATAATAATTTAGCAATCTTAGAAGTATGAAGCTTCATATTAATACCAAATTCTTTATTGAAAAAGCCCTTTAAAGCCCTTTTTAAAATCCCTTTTTTAAAAAACCCTTTAAAAAAGCCCCATTTTAAACACCACTGCCATTAACTCTAGCATGCTTAAAATTATTTTGAAAGGCAGGAGCCATAGTTCTCTGTCCTATGTCTTGAGGGCTGTCATGTCAAACAGTGCCCTTGAGCTTCAGAGAGACAGTCCTCAAACTATAAATATTGCCTCCCACTACCTGTTGATACTTGATGAATCAACCTGCCAATCACCTTAGTGATACTTCCTTTTTCCCCTACGTGCTAAATTACAAATAGGCAAAATAAAATACATAACGAATACTCTCCTGACATCCATGTCCTACCAAAATAACTTCTCTGGTTCCCACAGAAAGATTACACACAGAGTTTCCTCTGGGAAAGCTGGTTAGAGGCAATTTTTCATGATCTGTGACAAGAGCTTTTACCATTAAAGTATTGTCTAAAATGTAAACCTGAAACTACATAATTCTCAACACAAAATCATACTCATTGCTATGAGCGTATCTGTTTCTCAGGCATTCAACAACTCAGTTACTAATCTTTGCAATACAGCTGCCACCACTTCTCTGTCCCTCTATTTCCTATCGATTCTCATCCGCAGCTGCACACAGAGAATTTAAGCCGATTATCAGTGTTCTTTTTCCGACTATCAGCAATTTTATAACACTTGGTATTTTAGAAACAGTACATAGAAGGTTTGGTTACAAAGTGCAGTACCTCATAAATCAACTCAGAAATATCATTGTTTCCAGTATTTACACCCTGAATAAACACTCTAGATGATTACATTACAGGAATACATATCATGCATCATATTGAAATTTTATGATCTTATGCTGGAAAAATGTCCCAATGATTAGTAATTGCCTCCTCCTGTAATACATGAATAAAGGCTGAAAATATAAAACCAAGTAATTTTAAAAATAAAACATTTATAAAATGATAAACTGTGAAACCCACTGCTGACAGCCCAAATCAGCCTCTGGCTAACATCTTCAACCCCCTTATCTCCAAATCACAGCCACTTTCACCCGAGCACCTTTCCAGCTCTCCTAGGAGCTTCCTTCAGCCTCACCTAGACAGCTCCCTGGTTACCAGCCCAAAGCCCCCTTCAGCCTCAATATTTGATTTTTTTTGTCCCTCCCCACCCTTAGTTTGCTTTGGGACAAACTGTGCTCCAGAAGGTGAGAAAGGAGCTGCCTGTGGCTTTGAAGGGAGGAGGTGCAGAGGAAACAGCCACAGTGCCAGGACAGAGCAGAGTGTGCAAGCAGGGGGACGCACGAGCAGCTTGCATTACTCAAAGAGAAAGAATGGCTTGAACAACAGCGAGGCTTCCTCTGAAAGGGTTGGGAACCGATGTGATCAAAGATATGTAAACAACCAAGCTTTAAAAAGTTACTTTCTTTCCTTTTGACTTGATTTGCAATCTGCACTTTCCTCCAAAACTGAGTTACCAAACTTATTTAGCTCATCTCTGCTGATAGATGTAAAGGAAGTAACACATAAGAGACAGATTGGGAACAGAATTTGACACCCCCTTGACAGAACAAGCAGTTATTCAATACTGAAAAAACATTTACTGAGCAGTATTATTATGGCATTTGTGTTCTAAAGGGAAATCAATGGCTAAAACATAATGGTAAAGTTGAAGGCTATGGCAGCCCTCAGAGACAAAGCTTCATTTAGGATAATGCACTGAGCACTTGAGCTATGCTCTGATCTTCTTATAATAAATCAGGTCATATTCCAGTAGTATAATAGATGTAATTTCACAAAGTACTTCCGTGACTGAATACTCCAGTATACTTAATAAAATAAGATAGCAAACAAAATTTCATGTGCACACAACAGTAATGAGAGACAATTTGTAAAGTGGTGGGAATACCACAAGCTAAATAAAATACTATTGAAGCAATAGTAAGTTCTTAAGGTTACTGGTGCAAAGTAAGAATACAACATTGTATGCACAAATAACAAGTTCATGGAGAAATGTATTATCAAATGCAATTTGATTTAGCATATGATATCACTGTAGCTTGTATACTTCTTACACAAGCTGGAGATTAGTCACAAGAAATTCTTATTGTCTGAGAACTGAGTTGCTAAGTAGGAAACAGACTAAAACCATGTTTCAACGACACAAATATAAGATCTGCAACTAAATGTGATAGTAGTTCACAACTAAACTTCATGTTTGCCTTTTCAAGCCCTTCTCATGCCTCCATTCTTCCCATCATCTTTTGTACTTTACGTTTTGAAGATGTCTGAAGGAAATCATATGTGTCATTTTTGTGTGTGTTACAAAATGAAACATAACTCTTTGTAACTCTGCAGGGGCTTTTTTCTTTTTTAGCAATAATTAAAAAAAACCCAACAAACCCATCTTTATTGTAAATAAAAAAACCCTTACATGTAAAGAGGCATTACTTTAAATGCAAATTCCATGAAGGCATACTCATTCCATCCAGCTTGCTGCAAGGTGTTTAGTACTGGAAGAGTGGTCAGAGGCACGCAGACAGCCCAGTAACTCAAAGGAGCGGTTTAGTAACCGCAGATTAATAAAACCTTATTCAGTTGCTGTCTTCCAGCACACTTGAATTATATTTCGTTTGAACACTGAGTTACTTATGTTCAGTTAATATAATGATTTTTAATAATTAACGATAGTAACATATTGGACTCATCTGGTGAAAAATTTCCGAATGTGTTGGGAACAGTCTCTAGATCCAAACACATAGCCTCATACTTCCCTCACAGAGTTCAATACATGAAGGGGGATCTATATATTCCTTGCACAGAATTACAGCTTTAATAAATTAATTGAAGTTGAAAGATGCTTATAAAGCTGGAGGCCCCTGAGCTGCACGTACTTCAATCTGCCTGATAGTTCAAGGACTAAGATGAACTTTGAACTCAGCAAAGCCGTGCACTTCTTTGGCAGTGACGAAAATAATCACCTGACAAAGCTTTTTGACAAAATGTCCAGCTCTTAGCAAAGCTCATGCTT